AGGAGGCTAAGGCTGGGCCTAACTGGATGCTTAGAGGCTGTGAGAGCCGAAAAGAAGGGATGAAATGAAAGAACTATTTTGGAAAAAAAATAAGACTTTTTAACCCCAATTTGGATAAAAAATGAGTCCATACCCCAGTGATGCTTGGGTTTTGAGCTTCATTATCTTGGAAGTGATCATAGCATTAAAAGGAATAGAGAAACCAAAAGGAAGATAATGAGTCAGATTTTAGAGTGCTGTTGTGAGGTAAGGGGACAGTAGCCGTGGGTGACACTAAAGCATAGCTGTGACAACAGAAGCAAGGATGTAGGTGGACCTTGGAAGAAAAGAATAAAAGCATCAGTGTAAAGACCAAGCTGTGCAGAATGCGTGCAGTCAGCAGTCGACAGAAGGAAGAGAATCCAGGGAGGGAGCAGGAAGTCCCTGGAGATGGAGGAAGAGGGCCAGAAGGATGCAGGAAAGGGGAAGCTGGGAAGCCTGCGGGGCTGAACAGAGAGGAGAGGAGTAGTCCAAGGCCGGGTCTCTACCCAGACGCAGCCTGATGTCAGTCACGCTGCTCAGAACTTCAGGTCAAGCCTCTCGGCATTAAGCAGGTGAGGCGCAACTGCATTCTTCCTATTACGGGTTATGGTGGTGCTTTAACCAGATTGCTTTCTACTTAGCCTTTAGGAAGGAGACCGTCTACAGAGGCAACAGCTCTTATTAGAAGTGTCAAAAGGAGAGGAAGTGAGAGAGGTAAATTTGGAGTTCTGGATACTTGGGGCAATTTCTGGACAGCCAGGAGCAGCATAAGGGCCCCAAGTAGGGGACAAGAAAATGGGGTTCTAAGAGACTCTGAGAAGGATGCAGGGAGTGGATGGAAAGACACTAGCGACCACTGGCAAACCTTTGAGGAAAGACTGATTTCCCTCTCCTTCCTGAAGACAAAATGAAAAGCAACTTCTCTCTTCATAAAATTGAAAGGAGGGGCTGGGAATTTAGCTCAGTGGTGCTGTGCCTGCCTGGCAAGCACAAGGTCCTGAGTTTGATCTCCGGTACAAAAAAAAAAAAAAAAAAAAAAAAAAAAAAAAAACAAA